TTATAATTAAATCCATTTGTTTTTGGTATCGGGAGTCTTAAATAACTTTCTGGATTATCTTTGTTAAAAGTTGGATCAACAATTAACCCAAGTGTTTCAATGTAATTTTCAAGCCTGAGAATTGCATTTACATATACTTCATTTTTAAGCAAGTCAAGTTCTTTTGATATTTCAAACGTGATTTTTCTTTTTATAGCGGTCATTTGAAGTACCATAATAATGGCATTGTTCATAATATGTATGCTATTTTCTGTAAATTTGCCTGAATCTTTCAAGAAATTTACATTATTTTGGAAGTCAAATAAAAATTTCCCAAAGTAATTTGTTTTAATAAACATTCTATACATTAAATCTAGTGTTTCACATTGGTATAGGAATTCGCTTTTTGAAATTGAACCTTTTAAAAGAATTGTTTCTACTCTTTGTAATATTTCTTTTTCAGTATTTATAATAAACTCTTCATTATTGGATACAAAATAAGTAATCTGATTAACACTAAGTTTCATATTGAGTGACATATGTGAAAACATAATCATAAATTCCTTTGAAACATCCAAAAACTTTTTAAGATTGCGCTTTGCATTTTCGCTTAATTTTATTTGAATATCATCTTTTTGTGATGGGTTAATAGCAAATGTTGTGGTCACAACAATTAATAACAATAAGAACATTTACTGAATATTTCAGTTTATTGATATAAATTGACTTGAAATTTGATTTGTTTTCAAAGTATCACTCTTTTTGTTAATATTGGTATTTTATTATTATTTCCATTTTATTGATTTGGGATCTATCACTACCCAAATTAGTTGTTGCAAATAAAAGTGTAACTTTATTAAAACTTTTTATTCATTTAAGTGGTGATTTTAAAAAAAACATGAATTGACAAATTACGAAATCCAACGTTTGTTTAAAATATCATATTATATTATATTAAAATATAAACTGCTAAGTAAATTAATCTCTTTTTATTGTTGTTTTCTTTCTATATCACCTTTGTCTAAAACATCTTTTTCTTGTTCTTCTGATTCTTCTTTAGGTTGAGTTGTTGGACTTTCCTCTGTTTTTACTCTTTTACCTGATCCAACAGAAGTCGAAGGACTTTCATCAGACTGGTCTTTATTTTCTTCGACGTGTTCTCTTCTTCTTTTGATTTTGAAAGGAACATTTTTAGAAAGGGGGTCTTTTCCTTTTTTAGAAATTTTTCTCTCTTCTGGTTTGACTTTTTCTTTTTCCTCTTCAATACCAACTTTTTCTTCTTCTTCTTTTGATTCTAATTTACTTTTCTTTGGCATCTGAACAGAATCACTATCACTATCTTCGTCACTGGTACTTCGTTTTCTCGTTGGCATTGCAAATTGTAAAACAGTTCCCCTTTTAGTCTTTCCGATTTTTTGAGGCATTTTTTGCTTTGGAGTTTGTGTTCCTGATATTCCCGGTCTTTCATCCCCCAAATCAAGCTGTTCTAAAAGTTCTAATACTGATTTTCCTGGTATTTTCGAAACAACTGGTTTGGGTGGCACCAATTGTGGAATTGGTGACAAAGTAGTATCAATTAAAGAATATTTTGTCTTTTCAAAAATGCTACCTGTAAAATCTGGAGCAATCATCAGTTTTAATATTACTTCATTAATTTTATTTCTCACTTTCAAATAATAATTGTATTTTGTTAATTTAACAATTTCAATCAATTTGATCAAATAAACCAATTTTTGTCTGTAAAATTCGTTTTTGAGAAGAAAATTGCTTTTAATTCTCTGTTTGGTTGTTTGGTCAGTTTTTTCTTTATTAATACGAGCAAAATTGTCCCTTAACTGAAGCAGATAATTTCCATACCCTTTTTCAGTATTATGTAAATTATACCCTTTGTCTAATATACCGAGCAATTTCATCACTTCACTTTTTAAAATTATTTTTGTGGTTACTATTTTTTCTAAGATCATGGTACTTTCAATTTCAATCCGAGTCATTTCCATTAAAGCTTCAGGCAAATTCCTTGAGAATCTGTTTCTATTTTTAGTTACATCATTTAGAAACTTTTGCATTGCTTGAATGTATTGAAGAGAATATTTCAAAAAGGCATAAAATGAAGCAAAAAATTCTTCAGGAAGTGGTAATGATTCTTCTTCTTTGCTATTTGGGTTCATCCCAATACATAAAATTGTGATGAAGAATAAAAGAAGTTGGGTGTGCATTACACTCTTTCAAATATGTAAAGTTAGTCTATGTCCTCTTCCCTTATTTACTTATTATTATTGTTTCAATATTATATGATCAATTTAGTTTTTAATTATAAGTAATTATTAATAATTACTTAAAAGTTATTGAAGTTATTGTTTGGAACAAACAAACATCCCATTTTATTATTAATAAATAAATAATTCAATATATTTTTGTCAAATTTAAACATCAAAATATATTTAATTTTTTATTATTTTTAATAGATATGTATATATCAATTTGTTAAATTATATTAATTGTATTTCTATAATTTGATTTATTAATATTAATAATATTGTTTTTTTATCATTATAGTCGGGGGATAAATAGCATTAAAAAGGGACAAAGGTAATTAATTTTGATAAACATAATTTTGAAACTATAATTTTTAAAAAATCTATTTAAACGTGAAAATAAACATAAAATTAAAACAATAATATAAATTATCGTTTTTTATTTAATATGATTATAAATTGAATAATTATAAATTTCTATTTCAAAAATAAACAAAAACACCTCAATTTGTTCACTTAGAGAATGTGGAAGTCTAAAACGCAGCACTTTTTGTGGTTTGTCTGAAACTTGTTTTGTTAAAGAATTTTTCCTTTGTTTTTTTCTTTGTTTCATTTCATTTCTGCTCTTCTTCAACTCCAATTGTTTTAATGTTAAAATGGTCTTTCTCTTTTCCTTTCTCAATGGGAATGGTTCAACAACGAAAGATTGAAAGATTTTAACAAATGATAAATTTTCAGTGATTCCGTGACACTTTAAAAAATTGACACCGTTGTTAATTCATTAAACTCTGGCATTTTAACCATATATATCAAGAATATATTGAAATACAGTTTTTAAACTGGTTTCTTGTATTTGAATTGCTTTTTTATGTTGATTGCCTGTGGTTGTTTCATCAAGGGTTCCTTTCTCTTCTTCTTTCATTGTTTTCAAAGATTGAATAATATCAAAAATAGAAAGTTATGGTTTTCTTTTATTATTTTCAAAGTAGTTAATTGAAAAAACCTTTCTAATACTTTTATAGTTAAAAAAATTATATTTTATAGTTTTTTACTCGAATTAACTACTTCTGTCCCAAATTAACCCCCTTTATCACCCGACTATAATAAAAAATATGAGTTATAATTATAATTAATATAAATATACTAATATAATTAAAAATTGTAAACGTCAGTTATATTTTATTTGTGATAATGTATTTAGTTCAAATTATAATTAAATTAAACTTTTTTTATATTAATTACTTTATAATAAAATTAATTAATTATCAATATTATATTAAAAATGATATTAGAAATTTTGACATTCAAAAACGAAAATTAAAATAAATAAATAAAAAATATTATTTATAATAATTTTAGTTTAATGTAATATATTTTAATAGTACATTATAATTATTCAATTATTTGTTGTATAACAAATCAACCTAATTTCATATAATAAAAATACTAATAATTGTAATATTTTTCAAAAAATACGAAACAAAAATTCTTTAATCAATCTCATTTCTGAAACAACAAAACGCAAGATTGAAATGTCAGAACGAGAACATATTTAAGCGCCAGCTTTGAAAGGAAAAACATCTGAAATGGACTACGAACCTCAAGTAATCCTTATTACTGGTGGCGCTGGCTTTATCGCCTCACACGTCGTTGTCCATTTTGTGACTCAATACCCACAATACCGTATAGTTGTTGTCGACAAGCTCGACTACTGTGCGTCACTCAACAATCTTAATAATGTCAAAGGATGTCCCAATTTCAAGTTCTATATTGCTGATATCACCGATGCCCACACTATGCAGAAGATTTTTGAAATGGAGAAGGTTGACACGGTGATGCACTTCGCTGCTCAGACACACGTCGACAACTCCTTTGGGAACTCGTTCCAATTCACCCACAACAATATTATGGGAACTCACGTTCTTCTTGAAGTCGCGAAGAACGCAAAGGTAAGAAGATTCATCCACGTCTCGACGGATGAAGTCTACGGACAGGTCATTGGAAATGCAGCAACTGAAAACTCGTTGTTGAACCCAACGAACCCATACTCGGCAACTAAAGCAGGCGCAGAGTTCATTGCAAGAGCCTTTTATCAATCATTTGGATTGCCACTCATAATTACAAGAGGAAACAACGTGTTTGGTCCTCATCAATTCCCAGAAAAGCTGATTCCCAAATTCATTACTTTATTGGACAGAGGACTGAACTGCTCAATTCATGGAAATGGAAACGAGAAGAGAAGCTTCATTTATGTTGATGATGTTGTCAACGCATTTGATTTGATTTTGAGAAAAGGGGTCGTTGGGCAGATCTACAACATTGGAACAACTCGAGAAATTTCGAACACTGAAGTGACGCACGATTTACTCGACATCTTTGGAGTTCCAAAGGACGAACAGGAAAGTAGAATTTATCACGTCGAGAATAGATGTTTCAATGACCAGAGATATTCGCTTGATGTTTCTAAGTTAGAGAAACTCGGGTGGAAAGCAGAGACAAAGTTTGAAGATGGACTGAAGAAAACTGTCGAGTGGTATCTCAAGAATAAAAAGAATTGGGAAAGAACCGATGAGGCTTTAGTGCCACATCCCAGATTTGGCCAAGCTTCTAACTGATTGAAATTGGTACAAGAACACCACAAGAATTTATTGATTTGATTCTTAGTTTCAGTACCATATATTTTATGATTTGGTACTGATATTTTTATTTGGTTGTTTTTTATAATTATTTTATTAATTTAAACAAATTATTTATTTAAGTCTTTGTGTTAATTTGTAACAAAAATTGTTTGTTTTAATATCAAGCAAACAACAATTGAAAACCAAAGAA